CGATAAAAGTTAATATTAGGCCCAGCAGCAGTACATACACGTACGTATGGGTATATGAACGAGCCATGCGCTACACCCACACCCCGTGCGCTCCCGTGGTGCACATTTGCACCTATATTAAATATTCCTCGGGCCAACATCGTGCCATTTACAATGATAAACGCGCATATTATACGTATCATCACCCACGTGCTCTGGTAGCAGTGCTCATCTCCGATCTTTTTTTTTTTTTTTTTTTTTTTTCACTTTGTGTTGTATACGGGCAGATGTGTATAATAGGGTACACGATAAATGTCGAAATATTTGACGCACCAGTTAAGTGGGCGTTTGTCGCGTCGTGTTATCGGACTACGACCGGTGCAGGTATAAATATGACAGAAGGTCACGCTAGATTACACCGAGGGGGGAAGGGAGGCAGCCAAAATGTGTACATCATCATGTGCAATAGCATTGTCAAATGAGATCAATTAATTAGGTGCAGGTAGTGTTACAACTTACAACAATATTTGTTTTATCACAATTTTAACAAATTACTTTGTAAATTCAAGTGTGTTGTACGTTTAAAGTGTGTAGTTAAAATTTCTGTTTTTTTTTATAAAATACATCGTGGTGGCGTGGATAAGAATTTTAAACACAATCAAAGCTATGGTCTATCAATTGGTTAACCACATTCACTAAACTGGAGACTTTTGAATGGAAAAAACCCAATGTACTTAGGAAAGCTGTGGAGTAAAAAAACTTGGCTGTCATAGATTTTACACGCTCACAAGTGAATAAAATCTGCGACAGCAATTTTTTACTCTCAACAGCCTTCGTATGTCAATCGTTGAAGAAAAAAAATGGTTAGTTTAGAATAATATAGGTGAAATAGTTTATGAAGCATCGAATTCGATTTATCTTAAAAAGTTTATCAAGACTACTATATTTAATGCATTTTATAAAAAACAGAAATTTCAACTGCACGATTTTAACGTGTACTCTCACACATAAGTAAATTACATATGGCATTGAGGGCACATGTTTCACGAAAAATTTGACGTACAGTTAACAAAAACTAAACAAATGTATTGCCAAACCTTTTCCACTTCAAACAAACAAAAAAAATCTAAAAAATAAATATTATATCATCAATAAATATTATAATAAGTATTACATCATCAAAAAATGGTGTGCATAACCTTAATATCCTATTTGCAAAACCCTACTTGCAATCCTGAAAATTTTTATCAAAAACGTACAAACTAACTTCGTTCTCCCTTAACACCCACACAGTCGTGGGTCGGGCGAAGCTAGAGATGTCTCTCGCGAGACCGAGTCCAGAGACTCCAGAGCGCGACCCCCTGTGTCTCCAGGCTCGCTCTCTCTCTCTTTTTTGCAACGTAAGTGCTTACTTAGGTATCTTTTTTTTTCTGCCTATTTATCTTCACTTTTCTTTTGGGAATCCTCCTCGGAAATCCTTTTGAGTTATTAACTTTCAGCGTGTCTTGGTAGATGTACATCTTTTTTCTTTTTTTTTTTCAACAAAAAGTTGATTAAATCGATTTATTTTTATCTTTTCTTATCTTCATTTTTTTAATTTTTTTATTTATAATTACAAAGTTGCTCGGGCAAAGGAAAAAGCATGGCGTCGCGCTCGAAGAAGCCGTCGTGGATTCTATTGTCAGAAAGGACTCTTGTCCTCGAAATGAAAAAGAGTTTAAAATAAAAAATACAGCATGAGTGAATGGATGGAGCAAAAAAACAGAATAATGTTGCGTTGCTGAGAATCCTTTGTTTGCGTGAAAATTTACTTGCTGAACTCGCTGATTAAAAACTATTGAGCTTTCATTGTTTTTAAACCAAATAAAAAGAGTAATGATAAGCTCAAGTTGAAACGCGTATTATGCTAAAAAAACATAATCTCTGAAATAACAAAAATGATGTAATAGCTTGTAAAAACTCTGTTGTGAAGAGTTGACGCAGTTATAAGAGGAAAAAGCAAAAATTAATAACGATTGTAGTGCCACGTGGTATTGAAGCTATTAGCGCACTCATCCCTGTTATAGGGCAGAGCCTTACAAAGCCAAGGAAATATTAAAACGAGTCTAAGAAGCCTGTATTGCCTTGTCCTTTGAGAGATTTTGCGTTCAAATTGCGGCGATATTAAAGTAACCTCTTCGACGTTGTTGTCGTTTTATACGGTTTAATGTTGGTTACTCAATAACAAGTAATAATAAACATAATTATCTGTCATTTTAACATAAATGAATAGAACAACTTTCTCGTTTTGTGTAAGTTTTGTATATGTAAAGATTTTGTTTATACTTACAAGTAAACACGATTTTTTCTAACTTTGATTTTGAACTCTGATGTAACAAACATCTAATCTACTTAGTGATGTAGCCACTTTAAGGTTTTTATTAAAGTATTGAGACAAACGATCTTTAATCGATCTGCTTATTGCACCTTTGTAAATATTGATTCAGAGCCTTGATCTCAAAGATAAATCAAGCATTTGAAAGTATCGGAAAAATTAATAAAGGACTATTTTACTATCTTAACAGCGTAGTTTTTTAGAATTGCGTCTTTTGTATCTATATGAGGATTAGTCTCTGTAAATCTCGTATGAACGATACACTTGTTAGGGAGTATTAGCAAGTTGTAACAAAGAATTAGAAAAGTAATTTTTTATGATCTTATTAGTAATTTTCGCAACTATAGACTTTGATGATTTGTCCACGTAACTTTACACGCTATTTTGACTCTACCAGATTAACATGTATATGTGCTTTGAATTTCTTTTCTTCAAAAATGTTATGTGCAAATGGAACCCTAAATTTATTGCGTAAAAATGTTACATCATAGATTTAATAAATAGAGTATTGCATTTTTAATTCAAAATAGCTGGTATAATTGTTACAGAGCAAATTTCTGTCACTAATAATATAAAAAGGTGATTAATTATGATCTGCGTTTCACATTAAGGTCAAAACTATTCTTGTTGATTTTCAGCTTCCAAATCGATTTATGGAGTGCTTGTGTTTTACTTTTTTATTTTTTCTATAAAATCCTTACTGCAATAAACAATACATATTATATACCAAACACAGAATCGTTTAACGGCAAAAAGTTATGTGCAACATATTCAATCGCTTCCTCTCCTATAAATATTCATACGAACATTTTCATTTCAATACAAGATACCCAAAATCAAACGCCTAAAAACGTTTCAATCACATAAATTTCTGTTTCACACACGCTTTAAAAATATAACTACTACAAAAAAAAAAAAAAAAAATGTATGTGCAGTTAAAGAAAAAGTAAAATAAATGAATATAAAAATAAAAAAAATTAGTTAAAAAAATGAATAAAGAACCAAACAAAACAAATCCTGTGAGCAACGATATTAGGTTCATTCAAAGTTTATCACGCGAGACTCGAGGCATTTTCCCGCAATTAGCTCGCTCTAAAACTCCCCTGTGCTCCTTCTCTCGACCTGAATACTGTACACAGTCTACAGCATCCCTGTCAACTAAAATGGCCATTTCTCTGCAACTACCCGTATTAAATGCACGAGTTGGCTACCTCGAGCGTACATTGTATAGGATATACCATTTGAAGGGGCTGCTTTTATTGTTAGGTATGGCTGATTCTCCCAACAGTTTACGGGTTTTCGTAGCTGTTTCGCAAATGGCACAGAAGTTGGTTGTGTGAATCTGTTTGTATAGAGGAACCAGAAAGGGAAAACTATCTCATTTTGAGCTCGTGTAACAAATTAATTTGAGGAAGTTTACGTTCCCGAGTATAGAGTGTTTGTTCGAAACGGACAAATCACATTATTATTTTTCTCAATAGTTGGATGATCACGAAAAACGAGGAAAAATCTTGTGTTTACGACTTTTTTTTGAAAAATATCGTAAGATAAAAAAAACAACGTTTGTTGATATGATAATTATGTTTTGATTACGTAGGTATATGTGTAAGAAAATTATTGCAAGAATTAAAAAGTTATATAAAATTACGGTAGAATAAATAACAACCATGTTAGGAAAACACGTCCATTTCAAACTTTATGATGCACCTGTTGCTATCTAAAATAGAAAAAGATATTTCAAAGCCACAGCAGAGCAACCGAGTTTTGATGACAGAATATAAAATACGCAAGCCAGTCAGTATTCAATTTTGTTGCCTATCATCGGCTTTTCAGTTGGAAAATAGTATTTTTGAGGTTTTGCTGTTAGATTCACTTGAAACTGAGATACCATTTTTCTGTCCCCAAACGTGGATGACAATTTTCAACCTCGCATCGTCACCCTTTACAAAAAAAGCATTTGATTTAGTTTCCGACGAAAAACAAAACGACTCGATTTCTTCACAAAAAAATACAATTTTCCAGTAAAAAAAAAAAAAAAAAAAAAAAAATACGTGTAACGACGTTTTCGCGCTTAGAAATTTTTTTTAAGAATGTGTATTTAAATTGATTATGTAATTTTCTAGCTCTATTGCCACAATTAATTCTTGAGCTAAAAAACTTTATTTTTATTAATATTATCTTAGATCTTTTAAATAAACCCTTCTACATATTTTTTGTATTAGAGAAAGATTTGTATACAATGTATACAGTCACCACCTATTTAATTTAATTTACCAACAAAAATATATCATCTGATTATTAAAATTTTTATCAAAAGGTTAATCTTCCCAAATAAATAAATGAAACTCGTTTGTGGAAGACAACAAACAATTCTCTTTTCAAATTTCTTTTACTTCTTACGGTATAATAATGTTAGATGCACGGTGAAGATTAAGCCTTTGACAATGACGTAACTGGCGAAACAACTATTTGATACACTTTACGTAACAACATACCATAAAACACGGTAAAAGATGACTACTGATAAACTTATTAAAAAACAACCCTTTTGAGTTAAAATATTTGGTTATTTTGTGCCATTAAGTATAAATCTTTTCCTGATTCAAGTGACCCATGTAAATAAGAAAAAAAAAATGTCTGATTCCAGTACACTTGTCTTCAGAGGAAGCCCAAAATTCGGTTCAGCCCGCGAACAAACTCTGAAGAGCCAACAACCATCCGATCGGCCCCTCGAATTGTCGCGTTAAAAGCTTCGCACGTATACCGTACGGCGTATGCCAGTCAAATGTCCGGAGACTCAAAAATGGAGCCCCTAGTGGCGATGGCTCTGCTAACGCTGCTCGCGAGCAGCGAAATGGCGTATTGCGACGATCTAGAAGGACAGCAGCAGCAGCAATTCCAGGATGACCCTGACAGCGGCAACTGCAGCGGCGTGTGCACCGAATCCCGAAACGCTACAAGGTCACAACCCGACAATGTCGACATCGTCATCTCCAACATGTACCAGTACATAAGTCCATTGTGGTACGAGTATATTTTCATAATAATGCACGGGATCGTCTTCATAACTGGACTCATGGGTAACGTCCTGGTCTGCGTTGCTGTCATGAGGGCACACATGCGTACCGTCACCAACTACTTCATCATGAATCTCGCGTTAGCCGATCTCCTGGTCATACTTACCTGTCTGCCCTTCACCATCACCTGGGATATTACGGAGACTTGGTTCTTCGGGCTCTACTCCTGCAAGATCGTGCTCTACTTCCAGGTGAGGCCTTGCGAGGTCGTTTTTTCTCTCCTTTTTTATTTGTTAATTTTTTTTTTGTCAAGCATAACGTTTGAAGCAAAAACAGTTGGAGCAGCTGTCTTTTCCACGTTATCTTTTTTGAATGCTTTTACAGGTATCGTGCAAAAATTTAAATTTAACACATTCATATGTACATGTAAGGAAATCCACACAAGTGAATATTCATTCGTGGAAGTACAAAATCACAAAGGTTGATTTTGATTTTTTTAAATGTATTTTTCACAATCCAGGAGATGACGCGTGACGGGCTTTTTTAAAAATTTTTCAGCATTAGTTTTGCAACCAAAAATATTGCTTAATTTCTTCTTCACGAACTTTTATTTTATAAATTCGTTACATCCAATACATTTTAACTATTTATTAAAAACTTGTCTTACATACATACGTATCATAGAAAAAAAAAATAATAATAATAATGAGACAAAGGTAGCTGTAAAGAGAAAAAAATTAAATAGATCTTGATGAATAACTGAGGGTTTGTAGAGTTTTTCCTTGAAATTTTGATGATACTACAAAAAAAAATCCAAAGGTAAACGTGGAAAATAAGAGAACAATAAAGTATGAGTGGAAAGTATTTTAATACAACAGAAACGAGTGAGCTGACGTAAGCTTGTTCCAAACGGCAGTATCAATAGATTACACATATACATACACATGTTTATACGATCAGTTGGGATTACGTATTGTGATGATATCTAGTCTGGTGGCTCGCTATATTGTGCCGGACTAATAGATCTTATGTGAAACACGTGAAAAAAATTTTTTTTTTAAATTGTACTCCTCGATGTGCAATAACTTACTTTTAATTTTGCAAAAAAGTCTTACACCATGAAAATTAGTAAAAATATTTTGCTCACTTTGGGGTTATTTCAAAAAGTTACTGTCGTACACCATGGAAGCTCCTTAAATTAGCAAGACAGGGCATCCCTTGAATTGCCTGAAAAATTCAAGTATTAGAAAATGTACTCAAAAGACGCTGCGCTCTCTTAATTCGACTTCAACGTAACAACAGTATCGTATACGAACTGAGCACGCACTGGCTTCTCTACTGGCTTATCCTCGCATCCTCGGTCTCCCTGCCCTGCCTCATCTCTTCCTTCCCCCACCTCTTCAAACTTCTCTCTCCGTCTAACACTCTCGTATATTCCAATTAGCACAGCGTTCTCTTATCGATTCTAAAATATACTAGTTCCAATGATCATTAACTTTTAACAGAAGGTAGGACATAGCTTGAGAAACAAAAGAGTTATATCATATACTGATGTTAGTTTTTCCGGGGGTGGAACTCACCCTTTCTTTGGTCGTTGAATTTTTTAATGATTAAATAGACCACAAAAATCGATAGGGTATACATTGGACACGTTAGAATTTTACGCGCAATAGTTGTACGCAAAAATGTAAGCGATTAATTTCTTACACATCACATAACAATTATACACGTAGTAAATTTCCAACGTCTAGATTGATCACGCAATAATTGAACACAACTTATTTCTACACAAAGAAAAAAAAAAGTATTAAAACTGTACACACAAAATATTGTACACGTTCAATAATAGGCATCACTGTTATTGTACACATTTTTTTTAAACACCATTCGAATTGTACACTTAACTTTTGTACACAATTAAAATAATTTAAAAACTAAGATGAAAGTGTTGTACACGGTAAGTAGTAAGGGTGTTTTTATACACAATTTTACTTTGCTCTGCTAGAGAAAGATTTGTATACAATGTATACAGTCACCACCTATTTAATTTAATTTACCTGATATTCAAAGTGCGCGTTGGTTCTTTGGTTTATTGAGCCATAGCGCTTTAATAGTTAATAATTAGTTTATCAATCAAGAAATGCGTCGAGTCAATAATATGCATCTCAAAGACGATTTTTATATATGTATCAAATGCATTACCAACTTAAAATTAAATAATGAAAAAACTTTTTTTTAAGAAGCTCTTTCTCGCCCAGGAGTTCATCAATAACCCATCTTAGATCTTTTAAATAAACCCTTCTACATATTGATTCATATCAAACTACAGAATGGTATGCTCACATTTACCATTAAAAAGAGTTACTAAAATAACTTAAAAACTATTTTATAGAAAAAATAATTAAATAAAAATATTTTTGAAGTACCAATAAAGGATAAAAGGACTTACATAAATTATGCATTGGTTAAGAAAATTGTGATATTTTTTATACAATTTTTGAAAAATTGGTTGAGATTTTTCTACTTGTAGTTTTGCACATGAGTACCAGGATGGCTTTCACCGACAACTTGTAACTTAAAAAACTTAAAATCAAAGGGTTACAAAAATCAACGTCTAGAAGTCGCATTATCTTTTAAGTAATTTAAAAAATAATTTTTGAAAATTGAATATGTTTTAAAAATTCGATCAGTTATGGTTTTCAAACAAGTTCTTCTTTTTTACGTCCATCTGAACCACGCATATGGCTCTGATTTCAATAATATATATTTAATATATGTTCAGCAACTCTTATTTAACGTACTTAAATACTCACGATTTCAATAACAATGCCGTTCCAAAAGATAGGTACATTTCCATTATTTTCACAATAGGAATTATTTTCACGCTTGTTTCACCTTTTCAAAATTCATAGCACATTATCAGGGCTATTTGATTTAAGAACATTGAGGTTTACAGAGCTTATTTGCCAAGTAATATCGAAATTGGCACAGTTTCTCAAAATCGACAGGTTCACATAATATGTTATTCGCTACTCCTAGACTGAACGAGAAAAATTGAACACGACAATAACTTGAGATGCAAGGAAGCAACGGTAGATTTTAATCCAGATAATCTCTGCTCTTTGTGAAAGCACGAAGAATCAATATCCGAACGTTTCATCGCTACAGTATAGATAGCTACTGTAGCTAGAAGCTATAAATGTGCACATATGCACATATTTTTTTGTGTGACTACTTATTACGGCGTTTTTTCATTTTCCTTTTTAATTTTTTTATTTTTTTCTTACCGATGAAAACCTTTTTTATACTCTTTGGTGCATTTTACGTGACGTTTCGGAATTATTAAATGCCAACGGCACACGTATAGCATAGTTTTGTCCTTTATTGTCTGATCTCGCTCGTATAAACCTTTGGGAATGGCCTAGTGGATGCATCGTCATAGGAGAAATTGATTGTGAAAAAAGAAGGGCTAATGCATATGCAGATTAGCAAACGGGAGAAGCTTTTTTTCAGTTGGGAGCTCAACAAAGAAAAAAATAATCAATGTATATGCAAAACTGTTTACGCGTAGTGGCTATAAAAATTCATGAAAATCTGGGACGAAAAATCATGAGTAGTATTTACATTTTTTTTAAGTTTTATAATTGCTTTTTCAGGCTTCCACGTCTCTGTTTCTCTTTATTGTTGTGATGTACAAAAATAATTGGTGCTCGTTTTTAATGAATGCTTTTTCTTTCGCTGGAAAATGGAAAATTTTTTTCCCTAAAGTTACTTGCCTTCAGAACAACCACTGGCGTGATAATAGAAACGGACAAAGTTAGTACTGTGTAATAAAAATGTGTTTTACTGTGTCCTGCATGACATATAGTCTTTTGAAATTATTATTCTCGTTACTGGCTTACATAAGAAATACTTTTTAAAATTAAACAATAAAACGTTTTGTTTAAGGCAAGAAATTTCTTACAATATAATGAGACAAAGGTAGCTGTAAAGAGAAAAAAATAGAAAAATAATTATAAAAAGACGAAAAAAGGTGCTAAGTAAAATAAAAAAAATAAATGAATAAATAAGTAGGATTTTGTAAGTAAAATTATGATTTAAAAATCATGTATACAAGTAATTTAAATAGTTCATTACAAACAACCGAAAATATTTATATTAATATTGAATGTATAAATAATTACTTAATAAATTATTACACCCCCACAGTAACATTATTTAATAGTAACTTACGTAAATATGATTCAAAAAATTGTATCGAAAGCTCACGCAGTATAAAAAAACTAACTTTTTGTAAAAACTGCGTATTTGTCACTTGGATTTTGGATTGCCTTGTTAGCGTTTTAAAAGTTCCCGCCTTTTTTGGTACTAGTAATAAGTTGTGTCACTACGCGTCGTGCCGGAAAACTACACACGCACTCGAAATGAGGCGGCTGAGCACATTTAAGAAAGTAAACAGCACGTTCCGTTTAAAAAGGGTACTCGCTACTTCAATAGCGCGTCGGTGCTGCTAAAGCAGGCTGGCGGGGTATGGCAATCAAGACATACTCAGTACATAATTTTTGAAACCGTGGAGCAGTCGGCTGCCAGTTGCACTGACGCTCCCCTCCGAAATTATGACCAAAATATATGATGTCTTATAGCGTAAGCTGAAGCGGGCTGAAGTACAAGTTATACTTACTCACGCCACATTTACAGTATAGTAACAATTGGTTGCTTATTATTACAACTGACCTTGGCATCACTCCGTTACGACTAGAGTTTCATTGTTTCATAAGGAATTGAAGTTAATACTTTAATTAATACATAGCTCAGTTTAAATCTCAATTAAAAAAAGTTCTATAAAACTATAGTTGTAAGTTACACTAAAATACGATTCAATTGAGATTTTGAGAATCCAAATTTTTATTTTAATGATTTCAATATAATATTAAACGTTATTTAGCTCTGCTCAAGTCTTTCTGTTTTTCAAGTTTCAAGAAAACAGCAAATAACTGAAGAAAAGTGTTATTCATGACGCATTTTATAGGATAGTTTCATTTAATTATTGATTAAAAGTACCAATGAATAACTAATTGAAAAACTTTGAATTGAGCATTGGTCTTAATTTTGAATCGAAATAAATAAATTTATTACTGGCGTGTTGCAGTGCTGTGTAAAAAAGTTTATTTTATATTTTTATCAACAATTTTATTAGATATTACAAAATTATTTTTACACTTATGACTTCCACTTTACTGCGATACGAAACAATGTTTCTATAATTAACTTAAATTAATAAATAGGCTGTGCCTTATAGGCTGAAAACTACTGTTGACGATGCTTACTTTTGTATGAATATAGTATGAATGTATACCTATATACTTATGTATGGAATACTAGAGCTCTGCTATACTGATGCGCACAAGCATGCGTGACTTCGAACTCTTCGAAGTAAGGATGAAACTATGCTTCTCGTACAGATGAATGTTACTAGCTTGACCTCATTAATAAGAAGCCTGACCTGACCAAGTCCTGATTTCGAAAAATCATCATTAATAGGTCATTACCGTAGGCTTCCAAACAGAATATTAAAAATACAACAATGTCAAAGTTCCAGAACGTATAACATAGACTTGTAAAGAGTCTTGTTACATGTACAATAGCATAGCCAAGTGTTCATGCGTCCTCTCTGTACCCTGATGAGCTCACTAGTAAAAAAGGAGAGAGAGGTAAGCAAAATATGAGACCGCCAAACCCAATAGTTCATGTTTTTACTATTACGTTTCTTAACGTCAAAGGGTAATACAAAATTTTTTTTGTTTAACATATGACAGTTATCTTAGATCTTTTAAATAAACCCTTCTACATATTTTTTGTATTATTTTTCAGTTAGCTATAAAATTTTTAAGTTAGAAAAAAATTTTTTAGTTAAAAAAAAATTTTTTCTAACAGTTTTTTGAACATCCCATATTTTTTAACGATAGAATTGTAGTTTTCGTCCTTGGTGGACCTGCAAAGCAGCCCTGCGCCATCAGGTACGAAAACTACTATTTTTCCAAGCTTTTCTTTTGTACATGCTATATTTTTCAACGACAAAACTGTTTCTCACACAAATAAATTATTGTTCCTTATTTAAAAAAAGTATAAAAAACGAAGAGTATGGCGCATTTTCTCGGCGTATAACTGAGCAAAAAACAAGATCTTGTAAAAAATACCCCCCTCACTCACAAAAAGCGCTTGAAACAATGGGAGTACCGACATGTACGTACGCAACAATGAAAAAAATCACCTGATAAAAACTCCAAAAAACGCGTTTCTCATTTCATCCACGTTGTACATACCCACGCTGACGACCTTGAGCGAAAAGAGAATTTCAACGCAATCAGCCGCGCTTCGCGTACATACGCGTAAGTAGACGTGCCCACCTTGTACTGCCCTTCTGGACATGCCGTTCGCGCATTGCAAGCATTTTGTCGTGTAAGTGTGTTTGCATGGTTGTGTGCACTGCAGATTCCGAGCAGTCCTAGCATGAACGGGGATTTTTATCGAATTATGATTATTTTGCTCTGTACTCATTTCTTTTCTTTATTCACAAAGTTGCTACATTTTATCAAATGCCAATGAGATTGTACGTTACATTATTTATTTTTATGTCTTTCACTGTCTGTACTGATAGACATCTGTTTTTTCCTCCTAATTTTCTGTCAACTGCTCTTCTTCTATATCTCGTGAAAAATTTAAAGGAGCTTGGAAAAGAGAGAAATGCTGCATCGTTTCATGGTACTTACAAATGGAGCCATGCATGCACGAAGTTGGAAGAATTTCATTACGTGGTCTCGAGCGTGGAATTTTCTCACTCTCCGAGGGTGTAGTATTCTTATCGGACGTGAGGGAATTTTTCGGGTTGAAAAATTCAGTTGAGATTCGAATGGGAGCCACAATGCAGATCATGGATAATGATTTCGTAGTCTCCCTTACTGCGTTAATAATTTTTGGGTTTTTAACCTTGAAGGGGTGGGGTCTGACATAACGACAGTTCACTTCAATTTTGCAGTAAAACTATAAATGTTCATTTCAGCGACGTGTATTCCAACGACAACGATAGCTCAGTGCAGCGACTGTTTAGTATTTCGACAGCCAATCACGAAGCAGTATAAGAAGAAAGTCAAAGTAAACTGCCTTATGATTGGCTGTCGAAATAATGAACAGTCTTTGCACTGAGCTATCGTTGTCGTCGCAATACACGTCGCTGAAGAAAACATTCATAGTTTTACTGCAAAATTGAAGTGAACTGTCGTTATTTTGGACCCCACCCCTCTTCACAAGCTTAAATAGGCAAGCAGCTTTAATTACTCCATGCCATAAAAATTTTTTCTCACGTTTTTCCCGGCTACATGTTAAAAAAAAAATACAAGGTGCATCCGCCGTGCACTTATAGAATGCAAAGCACTAGGGGTAAAGTCCCTCTCTCAGGCGCTACATTTGTACGTGCTACTGTACTGCTACATACTTGTACTAAGGTAAGCCTGACGCACTTTGCTCAACTTAACGAGTGCGAGTTTAAAAACCTCAAATCACTCGGAACGTGATATTTTTGTTTCTCTCTGTATTGTCGCGCATACCGATTGTCAGAAGGTCATAGTGCACGTGACATTGATTGCATTTTTCAATTTTATTAGTGAATACAGCAAAGATAACTGCCACTAAAAACATATAGATACATAAACTGCAGTTGGGCTCTCGATGGTTGCGCGATTCGGCAATAAGGTATGTAAATTGAAATTCGGTCTCGCCAACTTGATTTGCGATCGCTCGAGAAGTTGGAATTATCCAGATTACTGGGCTACAACACAAACAGTTGTGCTATTTTGATTGAGTGGAAACCATGTTAAACCGTAAAAACTGCTTAATCTATACGTGATATCAATATTGTACAATTTTAGTGATTTTAGAATCGTGCATATAGAATGGGCAATCAGGTTATATACTGTACATGGGATATTTTTGGTGAATTTATTTGTGTGCACAAATAAATGTAATAAAAACTTTAATGGGTTGATGATTTTTAACACGCCCAAATTCATGAAACAAAACATTTCCATGAAAATTTCAGTTTAATGTAGTTCAATTAGTATAGTAAACATTGTAGGCGTTGTACAAATACGTGTGTCGTTTGCTGATAAGTATGTGCACATTGCATATTGTTATTTTTATTTTTAAATTAAAAAACAATGACTTTACATAACTGTGGTATTTCAAATGCTATAGACTGAGCCACATTATTTGAATCGAAGAAAATTTGTACACTCTTTTTAAATGAAACAATTTTTTTTTTAATAATGAAGTATAAAGTTAATGAAAAAAGTAGTTTATGCAATCTTTCATAAAATGTTGATTGTTGACCAGTTTTTTTTATTATTATAGCTACATGACTAGGTGGTCCATGCAGAGTAGGGTATTTGAAAATGAAATCATAAAAAAATAATTTTCATTTGTAGATTTACAAATAAATAGTATTGTATGTTCTAAAAATAAGTAGTTGTATAGTTTTTCTTGGAAAAAAATGTAGAATAGAGGTGTTCACTTAAGTTCGTAGCTGAAAAATCGAAGCAATTAATAACTAAATAGCTTTACAGTCTTAAAAAAATAATTATTTAATATAATAATATAATTTTTGATCCATCAGATACATTATTAATTAAAAAAATTTTTTTAATTGAATGAGTGTGAAAGACCTTTTTTTGATTAAGAAAATTAGATTATTCAACATTCCTGGCTTTTGAATAAAGCATTGTTGGCAAGTTTTGTTAAAAACTTAATCATCACTTTTGTAGTATCATGAGAATTATTTTGATTTCTGTATTAGTATAGTCAAAGACACATGAGAAACTTATGGTATGCAGCGAGCATATGTTACTTTTTTTCTACAGTCCTTTTTAATGTTAGTTATCGTTTTCCAGCGTGTAATTAAGTGAAAGGTAACTATAGCTTATTTATTAATTTTTTTTATTATTATTTCTTATTTCTAACCAATTGAGTATATTTAATCGCAAAATAACAGGATTCCCTTATTCCTTTATTCACCCTCCTCCCCACCCTGCTTTAGTATAAAAATTCATCAAATCCCAATTCGCTCCTTTTAAAGCATAAAAACTTCATTTAAAAAGTTCCACCAACCATCACTGTGAATTGCCGAGAGAATCTCATTGAAACTTTTTTGAAAAGGCTTCATATTAAACAGCAGTCGTTGGAAGTTGGAACTTTGTCGTCAGAAGTGATTTAAAATCTGCCCATTTATGGGAGCGGGGGAACTTTGAGGATGAGACAATAAATCGGCCTGTAAGAGAGTGTTGGCTATAAAAACAAAAAGGGAAAAAGCAGATTGAACAGCGCATTTCTCAAATCTTGAAGAGCCGCGTCAAAAACGTGAAAATGCGACTGATGGTCAAATACCCGGAATCCGTATTCATTTAATTTGGAATACGTATTCATATCCTATTATCTAGTTTAACGTTTGAAATTTTTTTTTTTTTCAGCATGCTTAGGAAAATTTTTAAACTCTTTTGCAAGTGAAATAATCAGGAAATTTTTATTGTAAAATTTTACACATAGATAGGAATATTT